AGAACCTATTGCAAAAAAACGGCAATTTCATACTTTAACCCCTAATAATATAATTACGACAATATGAATCAAAAAGCTCTTATTTTAATCTAGTTTTGAACACGACAAACAAAAAATAGTTATATTCATCACATCATTCTATGAAAAAATTTCAATCAATAGGTTTTTGTCTTTCTCAATTCTAATCGTAACGAGCGAGAAAGGCTTAGAGGATGGAAAAAAATTCCATAGTTTAAGGAGAAAGGCATCAAACGAACGAATGGATGTTGAGAGTTTGTTTATTACAGAAAATTACAGTTCAGATCCGATCCGTTCCGATTCTACGTTAGTGTTACCAGCGTTAGACTAGAAAATTGGCCGAATATTACTAATTTACCGTATTTGACAGGTTCCTGAAAAGAGCGTTGCGGTCAAAAAGTCGCTAGAAGTAGATAAATATTTTTTTCTCGCTACAACCAAATTTGTACCCCCTAAACATGCATAAAATCCCCTAAATCTAGCGACATAGGTGCTAGAACGGCAACACTGACTGCGTCGTCGAGCGTTTACTACCAACATTTATTGACAGGAGCGAACACTCCCTTGCAAAAAATAATTGCAATTCTGATGTTACTGTGTTACTTTCAAAGTGATAATGAATAATTTTAACTATATATGTATGTAGTAATAATATACGTATATGTAGCTAAATCATAAGTAGTGGCGCTGCACGACAGACACCTCAAACGATCAACGATAAACCGGCTTCGATTCGTAACTGTTGTTTCCTTACTTCCATGCATAGCACTGCTATATATGGAAGTAAGGAAATGTAAAGTTCTTTGGTTTCGGATTTCCCCATACTGTCCCATTTAAAAAAATACTCTGTATTTTAATAAAATAAATTTCCGATTAGATAATGTTGTCCTTTTTTATTATATTGATCAATATAAGAAACCATTTCCTATGTGGGTTTGTAATGATGATGTTTCTTATCTGAGTACAAAGATTTTTTTAAGAAACATCTCGTCTGTGTTTTCGAAGTAGCATAATGTCTGAGTAAAATCATGTCGATGTAACATATTGTCTGAGTAAAATCATGTCGATGTAACATATTGTCCGAGTAGTGTAGTGTCTGAGTAAAGTAATGTCGGAGTAACATATTGTCGGAGTAGGGTAATGCCTGAGTAAAACCCATGTAAAATCATGTCGATGTAACATATTGTCGGAGTAGCGTGTGTCGAAGTTCAATTTTAAAGTCGTTTTAAAGATTGTCGGTGCCGCGGTTGGGATGTGAAATTTGGTGAAATTTGGTGAAACTGGAAAAGGAAAATGAAAAATGAAACTGGAAAAGGAAAATGGAAAAGGAAAGGCGGAATCAAATTATGCAATTCCATCGCACACGTGATAATTCCTTTAGAATATCGATAAGCTGGCAACTTTACGGCGATGTTCAAGGCTCTGCAGCTTCATTTCTACTAATTTCGATTCACCTGTAAGCCTGTAAGTCATATTCAAATGACTGACCATGGACTCTCGACAAGACTGAATTTCTTCTCCACTGAACTTTGCATTGGTCAAGTACAGTCATATACCTGAGCCCCTAAGCCGACTTTATCGACTTTATAGTTCTAAGCACAAAAATGTGGGGAAAATTGTTAAACAAACTTAATCTTTATCCTCTGAATCGTAAAATGTATTTCGGTATGACTACTTGGTCATCTCATTAGTGAATAACATTGTAGAAAGTTTTTAAGTTAATTGGATCTTTAACGTAAAGTTCTTACTTAAATACACAATACAAATTTCAACCAGCTACTGTAATGACGTCGCGGCCTCGCGGCATAAGGATTGCTTTGCAAGGTGAGGAAGCATGGTTCGAGTCACATTAAAAACATAATATTATTTAGAATATACCGGGTTGAAATTAGTAATGCCACCTGGAGGGAAAGTACTCTAAATACTGGAGATAAAAATTTTTACTTAAAGGAAACATTCCTTTATTTTTTAAAAGAAATAAAATTGCATTCATAGATTTTCGAAAATTTCTAGCAACACGGGGGAATCGAACCCGGTTTAATGTGAAAAAAATGCACCCTGCACTTTTATTGCAGCGATCGATAGGGTTAATTATAAGAATAAAATCTCTCACAAAATTGGTTAAAAGAAAAAAAAACCATGAAATCTTAACGCATTTTAATAAAACGAAAAAAATGGTAATCTAACTAATTAGTTGCTCGAAATGAGCTCCATTTTCTTGGATACACAAATTTAATCTTTTCACAAATTCATTTTGAGTAACTTTTAATAACGTGTTGTGATTGAATTGTATTACAAATCGTATTCTGAACCTCAGTCTTCAACACGTTTACACTCGCATAGGATTTAAGGCAAATTTGATTTTTAACATATCCCCACAAAAAAATCTAAAGGGTGAGATCTGGTGATCTCGCAGGCCATCTGATTGTGCCGTTTGTACCAATCCAGGTATTAAAATGGTTACTAATGTAGGCAGTAGTGACTCTGCTGGTATTCGCTGGAGCGCCATCTTGCTGCAGAATTATTCGATTTCGCTCTTCCTCGAATAGAACATTTAACTCATTTCTTAAGAGATCCAGTATTTCAAGATACTTGACAGTGTTCAAATGACCTTCGTACACGTGGACTAACACAACTACTTATATTTCTCATAATTCCGCACCAAACGTAGAAAGAGAATCTTACTTAATTGTTTGTTTCATGAACAGGAACAGGATTCACTCGAGACCAATAATGGTTATTGCGGCGGTTGTACATGCCGTTATTACTGAATTTGGTTTCGTCAGACCATATAATGTTACTCAAAAAATTCGGGTTACGGCCAACTTCTCTTAGCATGTTTTGACAAAATTGAAGTCGTCTCTCACAATCCCCAGGATGCAATTTTTGCACCAACCGACCGTCACGATAACATTTATACTTATACTTTTTAAGCACTTGGAGTACGCGAGTGTGGATATCTTCTGCAGCATCTCTGCTTGAATCCTTTTTTGGAAATGCGTTGAAGTATGTTAAAACATTAAGATCGATTTCGGAATAGTTCTGTTGAGGAGTTTGCCGTCGCTTTTCGTAGCTACCCGTATTTTTTAAATTATTTGCCATTCTTTTCAGAACGAATCGAGTTGGTGCTTGTCGATCCCCGATATCTCTCTTCATACCACCGCAGAACTAAATTCACATTTTTGTTATTTAAAAAATAAGCTTCCATTAAATCAAATTGTTCTTGATATGCCATTTTTACGATGAGACAAATATGAAATTTATTTATTTATAGGAAAACTATCAGTACTTATAGAAAGGATATGTAAAAACAATCAAATGGAAATAACAAAAGATAATCTATTTTCAAATGAAACATTCAATATTTAAATTATCTTAGTCTGCATTACAAACATGTGCAAATTGCAATCTACTTATCTAAATAGTACTCCGTCATTTTAATGAATAATTGACGTCAACGATAATTAACAAGTAATCTGATGGACCTTTGAGTAAAAGTGCTTTAACTTGACCCATTGAATTTATAATTCCAGATTTAATGGTTTGCAAGAGAGATTTCTTCCTCATAATTGACTCTATCGATTCATTTAATAAAAGTATAGGGTGCATTTTGTTAAAGATTTTAGCGGGTTCGAGTCCCGCCTGTGGCTAGCAATTTTCGAAAATCTTTGAATGCAGTCTTATTTCTTTAGAAATGTTTCCTTTAAGTAAAAATTTCTATCTCCAGTATTTAACGTACTTTCCTTCCAAGTGGCATTACAAATTTCCATCCTGTATAATATTGTGTTTTTTTGTTTGTTTTTAACCTCTGGGTAAGTGTAAGGAATGTCTAAGAATGTTAGATTCTCAAAGTGAACCATCTCCCACAAACATTAGATGAACGAAATAAAAATAACCTTCTTGAGTAATTCAACAAATATTTTAACATTTTATTCTTCTAAATTATATTAGTTAACATTAATTGTAAAAATTTAAAATACTTACAGCCTGTATCAGTAACTACTGTATTTTTTTTAAGTCACAATTATATCGATATTGACGAAACATCAGAAAACTAATTTTATTCAATATTCAATATTCATTTATATTTGTTACTTAAGGTAGGTATAGCTAGTCTCAATACATTTTTTCTTGAAAAGGAAACAAACCGGTTTGGTTAAAATTCTTAAACAAACATTCAATTAATGGAATACTTTACGCATTTATATTGATATCTCACCACTTTTTCCAATAATATTCATTTGATGACATGTTAAAATCTTATTTGAAACGTGTTATACTTATAGGTAATCTTTTATACAAAATGAATTGAAACGAACTATAGTTTTACAGGCTGCATTTTTACGAAATCATAAACTTAAGCAGTGTAGTGAATAGACATGTTACGAAAACAACAATAACATCACTCACACCTTACATTATTTTTGCCTAGCGATGAAATATAATTTATTAATTTTTATTAATTATAATAAATTACGCTAGCAACATAGATATCGTTGGATGTAACCATAAGAAACTACTAAACAAACCAACTAAAAAGTAAAGAACTTAAAAATGCATAGAGATCTTATTACTATGTATGACAGATTTGTAAGAAATAACTAGTTTAAAAAAATAAGAACAAGAACTATTGACAATCCATCAAACACAAATCTATAACAAACGTTTACAAATATGGAGCCATAACATTTAAAAGAAGAAGAAGAAAACAGATTTTTAGTTACAAAATGTAACACACCAAATACTTCAACGCAAGGTTTTCGTGGAAATAAATGAAATAATGTTTTCCACTTAACTGTAATAAAATTTATGTAGCGACAGCAATAATATTACATCATGTATTTTAAGTAATGAATTTATAACATTACAGCATACGCCTACGTGAGACCTACTTATACTACTCTTAATTTGTGCTCAAGTCATTCCATACCAGAAAAGCTTGGTGCGTGTAGCTCAAGAACTTTCTTCTTTCAGCTTCAAGCGAACTCTATCCATTTCAACTATGAACTTGTGTGGTTTTAATAATGGCTATGACCTCTTTGTTGAAATCCATCATGCGAGTTAAATATTGTCGTGATCAATACCCTTGCAATCTATCAAGCTTGCCAGTTAGTAGTTATCTAAATGTAAATATAAGATTATTATCGTCTCTTAATACACAAATCGACACACTAACTTGCAATTTTAAACCTATAAGTGTCATACTTTCGTGTTAAAGAGAACGATAGAAGTACCAGTATTGTTGAAATTATTTCAGATTATGTGAACCAACCATGGTGTAGCGCAGTGAAAATAAAAGCATCTAATGAATGGTAAGTTACATTGCTGTCATAGTGAAATGAAATAACATAGGTGCTTTTCGTATTATGGAGTTGTTAGGTTTGCTGTTCACGACCTCTTAGTGCAGATGGAAAAATATATATTCCTTTCGCTATAATTAATTATCAACTTAAACCAACTAAAAATAAAGTAAATTAATTTGTTACTCCACCAACCGAGTGAACGTTACGTTGTACAAAATAGCTGCACAAGCGCGTTGAATATTTTTTCATATAGTTAATTTTAACTCCTCCCTCCGCGTATAATTAATAAAATATATAACTCAAGAATATACCCGACACGTGTTTCGCCTCTCTACGAGGCGTCCTCAAGAGGTGTTGATTGCTCGACGTTCGGTCGAAGAATGTCATTAGAACATGTATTTCCGCAAAGTGACGCCTGAAAACTTAATTTTATTGTGAGGATAATTTTCTCTTGGAAGAGGTTCCAAGAGAAAGATCCTTGTGCTATGCGACTATAATAGGTTTATAGTTACATACTCTGATCTTCACGTGAAAGTTGTTTGAGTTCGCGCCACAATTATCTATAGGCGATTTTTATGTTGGTAGATGATAATGACAGAGTTCCAGAGCACAGCTCTGATAATACGAGGATTAAGCGGCACAATTGCCTGGATGAGGAGGAAGGACCTATTCCCGGGAATATGGGTTGGTTCTACACTGCAAAAAATAGTCCTGAACATCAGGTCAGCTATAACTGTTCTGGTATGCTCGTGTAAGTAGGTACGTAGTATCTAAATTTACGATGCAAACACACTAAACAGCGAAGACAGATAAACAGCGAACCCGTCCTGAAGCGTCCTTATTCCACCTAGAGCACTTTTTAAATTATTAGCAATAGTTCTATACATATTGATGGGAATAAAATTGATTGTCAACTACGTATTAAACTCAATGTCTTTTAAGGTTTATCTATTAGTGGCTAATGATGTTAAATATTTTTTACAGTTAGAATGTGGTTGGAGTCCAGGATACATTACTTGTCAAGTTCTTGAAATGATCGAAAAACACAAATGCGCTAAACAGAACGCCTGCGGTTCCTGCTTTGAATCGTGTCGCAGACCCTGCATACAGAAGAGACCCTGTAAACCTTGCAAACGGTACAAACCCTGCAGACCAGGTGGAACCTGCCATCTCTGTGATCCCGTCGGCACCTGCAATCTCTGCGATTCCTGTGAACCATGTAAAGCTTGCGATCCCTGTGATCCCTGCGCTCCCTGTGGTCCTTGCGAACCCTGCGAACCCTGTGAAAGCATACTAGCCGACAAACCTTGCAATGTTTGCATACCCTGCAAACCTTGTAAACCCTGCAAACCTCGCAAAGCCTGCAGACCCTGTAAACCCTTCAAACCGCGCAATCCTTGCAAACCCCACAAATTCTGCAATCCTAGCAGAACTTGTTCACCACCTCCACGTTGTGATTACACTGGCTACGTTTGTTATCCTACAAATTGTTGTGACCGTCTACAATATGAATACGTTAGCTATCCTTGTCCGCCAAAATGCTATAACTGCCCACGAAACTATGAGCGACATTATCCCTTCGTATACATACTATGATAGTTTCCCTAAGAGAACTGACAAAAGAAAAAGGATCGTACTATGAACGACATAATCATACCCAATTTTAAAGCATGTGCACGACTAACGTCTACAAAATACGCCAACTCTGTAGACAATTAGATATAATCTAATGTTGATTTATTTTATACCGTTTTATTCAATGATATAGTTAAGTAAACAGAATACTTAGTACTCTAACAAAATATTATTTTGTTGGATGACAAATAAAAAAATGTTTACTTCTTCAAATCATAATTTACTAACGCTTTGAAAATGATGCCTGCAAGTCGTATGACTAACATCAACAGATAATAAATATCGTAAATCCCAAAAACCAAGGTAAGTGCGGTCGAAACATTGAACAATGATATGACGTTGAATAATAATAAACCTATGTATAGTCCCACTGCGGGGCACAGATATCACAATGAGAGGGCCTGGGCTGTACTTCCCACGCGGGCTCAAAGCAGATTGGGAACTTCACACTCAACATTAAATTGCTTTGCAGATGTGTGCAGGTTTCCTCACGATGTTTTCCTTCACCGAAAAGCTCATGGTAAAATTCAAATTAAACACACACAGTAACTAAATACAAATATAATGAAAGTTGGCAACAGCATAAAAGCCATTTGTAAATTAACGCCGTTATACAAAATAACCGACTAGTAGTTTTAGTTATCTCTTAACCACTTTAATTCCAAAATTCAAATTAAAGCTATTAAAGAAACAATAAGTAATTTAATTTTAATATAGATTATTAAATTTTCTTACACGGGATCTCAAGGAGTTAACAAAGCAGTACACGATATACCTACTGGTGTAGACACCTACAATTACAAAACCAACAATTAATAGATGAAAATGGGAAAAAATACACCCAAATTATTCTCATTGGATATAAAGAATAGGCTTTATCCCTATTGGTTACCACATGTACCTAAATTTAAAAGTTGTTCAAACGATTTTTTCGGTTCTAGAACATTGGTCATCTAATTGGTCATCATACTACCAACTTGGTCGTCTATTTCTCGAGTGTGTGAAAAAGTTACAATTATTCACAAAGTACTAAAAGGTTTACCATGCACATTTTAGAATGTTGGCCATGCAACATCGGATCTAGTGAGGAAACAACTGGATAATAATTTTGAATCTCAAAGTGAGTGCCGTGTTGAATATCTACGAATTGTAACGAAAATCTTCACGAATTGTAATGAAAATCTTCAGGAATTGTAATGAAAATTGAAGACCTCGAGAACTATTTCACTGAAGTCTACCATGTAAGTTTTTAGCAGTAAGTTCGGTAGCAGTAGAGCTTGGACGAACTCTTTCACAAGGATTGTGAAAGGACGTCAACCTTTCCAAGGAAGGCCACCTTTCCTTTTTGTGTCAAGCAGTAATGTGAGCATTTTGTTTCGGTTTTGATGGCTAAGGATGCTAGTCAAAGTACAGGCCCTTCAGATCTTTATAATTTTAAACTCCTAGTTGCAACTGTTAAGGTTCAGGCATGTCGCTTACCACCGGGCACGACTTATTCGTCCAGTCAATATTAAAAAAATCATTGGTATATAATTGGTATCATAAAAAAATGTAATAAATTTCAAACAAACAGATGAAAAACAAGTCTACGATGACACAACAAATGCAAAAAATTTACAACAACTCTCTTTTTGGTACAGTGCTACAGGTTTATCACAATTTGGCAGTCCAATACGAAGAAACAAGCTGACTTTAGTTAGTTTTATTGGAAAATAGAATATTGGCAATGAAAGTGCTTTTTCGGATCGAAATCGCAAATATTTGGTTTGTTTAAGAAAACGTTTCGGGCTCTTTAGATCCCATTTTCACGGCTGACTGTCAGATTTAGATCCAAGAAAAAATAGTTTCATTTCCACCAACTTGATAAATACTAGTTTGTATTCTTTATGTATTCCAGGTTTCATAAAATTCAAGAACAAGGGGACTTCTGCTTTTGTAAACAGCAATGTTTTGTTCTGAATTAATAAATAAAGTCAACTCTTGGAGGATATGAGACACTCACATGAAAATAAAGTTTCGAACTTCGAATAAGAATTTTTAAATTTTTATTGAATTGATAGTCAATTATTTTTTGTGAAAAGATCCCACTAGTTTGTTGTAATTATTAATACAAGATCGAACACTCAGAAAAAATTCCTTCGATCCGGCCGGATTCGGACCGACGTCTTCTAGCTTACCGTGCTAGACATCAACTAAGCCACGGAACAAACCAGCGGGCCTCACGAATTTTTCTGTGTGCTTGCGTGTTCTGTGTCGTATCGTTCGTTCCGTGGTTTAGTTGGTATAGCATCTGGGACGGTAAGCTGGAAGACGTCGGTTCGAATCCGGCCGGATCGAAGGAATTTTTTCTGAGTGTTCGATTTTTGTATTAATAATTATGACAATTTTTATTTTTTGCGATAATACAACAAAAATGTTAACATTTATTTTAAAATCTCGATGGCTTTCTAGACTAGTTGCCTATCTATCTAGTTGCCTAACACACGGCGACTTTTAGCAGCGATGTAGTCGCTGAACGACTACCTTTATACACGCGCGATTTTAAGCAGCGATGCAGTCGCTAATCGACTACCTTT